TGGGGCCGGGGTGGGCTGTGCAGGGAGGGAGACGTGGCCGTGTGAGGGCGGGGGGGGGCAGTGCTCACGTTGTTCCACTGGGACTTGAGCTTCTCCTTCTCGAAGCGTTTGTACTCCCGGAGGTCACTCAGGTGGGTCAGGACCTTCCAGATGCCCAGCAGGAGGATGCCGATGAGCACGACCCCACCCAGGGTGCCCCCCACGATGGCAGCGATGTTGGGGCCCATCACACACTCTGAGGCAGGGAGGACACACGGGGCGTCAGGCCCTCCCCGACTCACAGGCCCTCCCCGACTCACAGGCCCCAGGTGCCCGTCCCAGTCCCCGACAGCATCAGGGCCGCAGACTGGCTCTCAGTAACACGCAGGTGCACAAACCAACCCCCGCCCCGGCCCCCGGTCAGGGAAGGCGCAGAACTGGGCACCATGCAGGCCCTGTGGTTCCAAAAGAAATTTAGAGGCCCCTTGTTTTCAGAGAAAGAAAGGGGGGCCAGGTTGCCAGTAACCAGGGCGACACAGGGAACAGAAGACAGCGTTCCCTGCCAGGACAACCAATGGCCCACTCACCGGGAGCCACTGAGGCTGAGTCAGTACTTGCAGGAATGTGTCTGAGGGCCCCCGACACATCTCGTACCAGGGCTTAGGGTCGGGGACTCTACCCGTGAAGGCATTCCTGGGGGAGCCAATGGCAGCATGGGGGGATGAATGGGGTGTGGCCCCAGTGCCGGTGTGGGGGCTGCCCCCAGGCTCCTCCTGAGTGTGGGGCCCCTGGATGGCAGCGCACCCTGCTTGGTCCTGGACGGAGGCACCACATTCGATGCGAGCCCCCATCTGCCTGGCTTGCGGGCTCTGGGGTTTGTGGGCGCGCCCCCTCTGTGCTGGCCTTCCCAGGGAGCCTCACTGTCTGCACTGAGGTTGAACAACTTAGCCAGGACCTGAACCCAAATCTGCCCGTCAAGTAATCCGAGGAGTGCTGTCCGCCCCAGCAGGCTGAGCTCCGCAGCCCTGGGGCCACAGGAAGAGCCTGAGGGCCACCTGCCTCCTTGGGGGCCCTATGGTGGGGTGGGGGGGCTGGGAGCAAGTCTCAGCCCTGCAAGTAGCCCAGGGGGACCGCTGTCCCACGTCTGGTGTGGTCACCAGAGAAGCTGGCCTCCCAGCCTGTGTGCCCTGTCCCCCTCAGCCTCTCTGAGGGGTAGGGGGGTCGGCTACTGAGAGCTGGTATGTCCACATGTCTCCGGGTGCTGCTTAAACCACTCCCCTCACAGGTCTGTTACCCCAAGTCCCAGTGTCTCATGCACACTTTGTCATTGTCACCCAATGTACCTCCTTGAAACTGACCTCCTCCCACCCTGGGGGGGGGCGGCTGAGGATCCTCCACTTGTCACCTCCCCTCCTGATCCCACCCAAAGTTCCATCCAATAGTTGGCTCTATCTGTGCCATCCCCAGGACCCCAACCGAGCCCTGAATTGCCAGTGGCACTTCACAGGTCTATGTCCAGCTTGTGAAAGCACCGCTGGCTCTTCTGGACGCCCAGTGGCAGCTTCCTGACCTAAGGCCTCCCAGGAGTCTCAGGGCCCCAGGAAGGGTACAGCCCAGCACCCTCGACCCTCTCTTCTCGTCTGGTCTCAGCTGCACGGTCTTCCTCAAAGAGACCTTCTGACCTCGGGACAGCTGCTGCCAGGGTCTTTGCCCCACAGAACCTGGCTCATGTGTCTCGAGGGGCGGCCAGGGGTGTCCCCACCCCGTGTCATGGGAACTTGTGAAGACTGGCTGGGTCTCTGGGTCCTGGGGCGGAACCGAGCGGCCGGTGGGTGGCAGCATCCGGGGACACTTGGTGTCACCTCCGAGGGCCCCTCCAAAGCTGGGGCGGGACGCGGGTCCACCGGCCAGGGTGGTCCCGCAGCTCAGCCCTGGGGGCCTGGCTCCAGGGCTCGAGGCGGTGCCTCCGCGGGAGAGCCGGCCGCCCCGGGGCACGCCGGGCCAGCGAGCGGCGGGGGCGAGCGGTGCGGCGAGGACC